TCCCTAGCACTATTTTGTATTTTATTTAGAGACAGGGTCTCACTGAGTTGCTTAGCACCTTGCTTTTGCTGAGGCTGGCTTTGAACTTGTAATCCTCCTGCCTCAACCTTCCAAGCCACTAGGATTACAGGTGTGCACCACCACACCCAGCTAATTTCAAAGCTTTAATTGCTGTAACATCCTAACTGGACTGTTATTTTATGCAGACTGTTATTTTACTTTTAGCTTCATTTCAACTTTTAAGTGAAATGTCAGTAGAAGGATTAGTTGGTTTTAACCATCTAAAACATTTGCTAACAATAAGTTAACAATGCACTGATGAATTTTGTGTGACTTATTGAACACACACCCTGAAAAAATTAAAAATACATACACATGTACACATTTGAGTCCTTTGTCTATGACCTGTCTCTGTGCTTGCATACACATGTACTGACATTTGTATAGTGGGTTTGCTTATGTGAATTTTTCTTGCATTATATTTGCTGATATAATTTTCCTTTTGACAGTGATTAGACATTGAAAAGAGATCCTGCGAAGAAGAATCCTTCTAAACTTCTTTCTTTTGCCAGCTCTTTTGCTTTATAGTGTGTTGTAGTGTATGCTGGGGACATCATTATGGGCTCATTTTAACTCCAAACAGAGCTAGAATATGCTGAGAGTAAGAGAGTGCCTAAGGAAAGATACATTGCCCAGATACAAACAATATATACCCCAAACCAATCTGCATGAATGATATAGATACATCCTTCCTGCCCTCAAGGAACCAATATGAATGATAGAAATGCCTATTGACATGAAAGGGATATTGAAGAATTGGAATTTTCCTGTATATGGATCTGCTAGCTGTGTGGTACTTTTAAGAATTATGACTCAAAAGTGAATAGACATGAACCATAATTAATAACCCTCAATTTTTCCAAATTTTCCATCTAGCAAAGATTTTATTAGTGTTTTTTTTTCCTGTGTGGGGTGTGGTACTTTTTGAGGAAAGGAAACTATTTTGGTTAAGTTTTCTCATTGTTTCTTAGATAAACTTGTAATCTACTCACTGATCATTGTCTCTTTTTTAAAAAAATTTATTTATTTTTATTTTTTGCATTATAATTCTTTTTTAATTAGTTGTTCAAGACATTACAAAGCTCTTGACATATCATATTTCATACATTTGATTCAAGTGGGTTATGAACTCCCATTTTTACCCCATATACATATTGCAGATTCACATCAGTTACATATCCACGTTTTTACATATTGCCATACTAGTGACTGTTGTATTCTGCTGCCTTTCCTATCCTCTACTATCCCCCCTCCCCTCTCCTCCCATCTTCTCTCTCTACCCCATCTACTGTAATTCATTTCTCTCTCTTGTTTTTTCCCCTTTCCCCTCACATCCTTTTATATGTAATTTTGTATAACAATGAGGGTCTCCTTCCTTTACCATGCAATTTCCCTTCTCTCTCTCTTTCCCTCCCCTCTCTCGTCCCTGTTTAATGGTGATCTTCTTCTCATGCTTTTCCTCCCTATTCTGTTCTTAGTTCCTCTCCTTATATCAAAGAAGACATTTGGCATTTGTTTTTTAGGGATTGGCTAGCTTCACTTAGCATAATCTGCTCTAGTGCCATCCATTTCCCTGCAAATTCCATGATTTTGTCTTAATCACCTTTCTACTGAATTAGGTAAAGGTCATTTGCATATTCTTTTTAGATCAATAATGCATTTAGATAAGAATTTTATTTGCATCTGTATGAACAGTAAGAAGCATAACTCACTGTTATTCTAGAACAGGTATTTGTTTGAGATGACTGTAAAGAAAGTAGCCATGTTTGAATTGTTTTTATTGGTTTAATAGGTCACTTTAGACAATTGTGTCGAAGTTGGGCGGATTGCCAACACCTACAATCTGACCGAAGTGGATAAATACGTTAACAGTTTTGTCTTAAAGAATTTTCCTGCATTGCTGAGCACCGGGGAGTTCTTGAAACTCCCTTTCGAGCGTCTTGCCTTTGTGCTTTCCAGTAATAGCCTTAAGCATTGCACTGAACTTGAGCTCTTTAAGGCTACCTGTCGCTGGCTTCGCCTGGAAGAGCCTCGGATGGACTTTGCTGCAAAATTAATGAAGAACATACGATTTCCACTGATGACACCACAGGAGCTCATTAATTACGTGCAAACAGTGGATTTCATGAGAACTGACAATACTTGCGTGAATTTGCTTTTGGAAGCCAGCAATTACCAAATGATGCCATACATGCAGCCAGTTATGCAGTCAGACAGGACTGCCATTCGGTCTGACACCACTCATTTGGTTACCCTAGGAGGTGTGCTGAGACAGCAGCTGGTTGTCAGTAAGGAATTGCGCATGTATGATGAGAAGGCCCATGAGTGGAAGTCCCTAGCCCCCATGGATGCTCCAAGGTACCAGCATGGCATTGCTGTCATTGGAAATTTCCTCTATGTTGTTGGTGGACAGAGTAATTATGACACAAAAGGAAAAACAGCAGTCGATACAGTGTTCAGATTCGATCCTCGATACAATAAATGGATGCAAGTTGCATCTTTAAATGAAAAGCGCACATTCTTCCACCTAAGTGCCCTCAAAGGATATCTGTATGCGGTCGGTGGGCGAAATGCAGCTGGGGAACTGCGTAAGTGTACACATTTACTTTTATGCATAGAGACCAATTTCTTTTTTTACCCAGAAATCCATTTTGAATCATAAAATAAACAGTTCAGTACAAGTATAGACAAAATGTAGCTAGGGTTTCATTTTAAAACATTTTTTTCCTTAAAAATATTAGAGACCATCTGTATAGCTTGTCTGGACAGATATAGTTGGCCAGAGTGCAAATTTTATCTTCTTAATACATGCATATGTTGCAGAACATTTTATTTGTGCAGGATGTACAGTTTTTATCTTGAAAATTCAACTAAGAAGTGCATTCAATTAGTTTAAATTCTAATAGAATCTTGAGCAGAAGTTTGGGGTGTTTCCTCATTTTCCAGTTTTAAAAGCCCACTAGGATATTTTACTGAATAGGTTAAAATCATTCATTACAGAGAACTGACTTGTTGTTTGTCTGGTTCCATAGTTTGTCCTCTATTAGAGGCTCTATAGCAAGATAATGCTCTTTATAGATTAATGTACGAAGTTCAATACTATCTAAAGTTTATTTATGGTATTATGATCTGTGACTATTAGTTTTAAAACTTATTTTCTTGTTGAAATATCAGTTTTCCTTCATTGTAAACTGACCTAGTAAGCTATTCAATGGTATTTGCTGTCTCTCCCATGACTATTGATAAGTAAACTTGAACATAAAAATAATTTGGCTAGATAAATTTAACTTAAAAGGTATAATTTTGTTATTTTAGACCAAATGGGATAATATAGCTTGTCTAGAAAGAAAGGCAGGAAGACTTCATTTTATATTGTGACATATATCTGTGATTATTATTATTTTTTACCTGCCTTCTTTGACTTTCTGTTGTAGAGTCCTTGTAGTTGGCCAATATTCCAGGCTCCATAATACTGGGGAAGGTCAACATATTGTATATGTTGGCATTGGCTCTGGGTAAATTCAGAGTACTTCTCAGAATCTTTTCTTCCCAGTATTCTAAGAAATGAAAGGTAGTTGAATGGATGTAAGACTATATTATGTATTGGGGAAAAGTACTACTCTCAGCTCCTATACTTTTCTGTTTTTAAAACTCCTTCTTGTTAGTGTCATGCTCTTAATGTTACTCATCTTTATCACCCAGTTTTCCCCCTTGTTGTTACCATATTTTTTCCCTAAGACCAAACTTTCTAGATTTTTGGACCAGGTGGCATGATCACCAAGTACATATGTTTCCCAACATACTTTATTAATCAGACTTTTAAAAGCATTTGAGGCATTAGTGACTTCAGTGTAGAATTGTCATTTCAGGTCTCCTCAGTCAACCCATACATATTATTTTCATGTTATTTTACTATGTAAATTTATGGTATGTAAAAATATCCAGGAGATGCAGTATTGTGGTTTCTTAGAAATACAATTAGTATATGAAATTCTTTAAGATTTCATAAATTATAGGTCATTAACTGAGGCAGTCAGTGGTTATTTTGAAACTTCTATTCTCAAAGGAAATAGCTTCTTTTTCCTCCTCAAATCAGTGCTTGTTTGTTAATGTTATCACCAATGTTAATATGCAATAACTAAGTTTTCAATATATTCTTTCTAATATTAATTAGGAGCCTTACACTTCTAGGATTTATTATCTTCAGGCCAAAGAGAGTCTTTACATAAAGCTAAAAAGTTAGCATCCCCCTTTTTCTGACTCATCCCTGTACTCTTTGTTTCTCTCACATTGTACCAAGCTAGGAATAGGAAAGAAACTACCCCACTGTGCAGGTAGCATATGCACAGTCTTCTTTGATCACAACTTTTAGATACCAGCTCTCTACCTCTGATGAAAATAGTCTTCTAAGTGAAAAGAAGCAAGTAAATCATGCCTTTGTGAGCTATTCCTAAATCAATATTAACCATTTGATTATATTTAGGCTTGAAAAATAAAATCCCCCAAACTGACCCTAAGGATGACTTTCTTTTAAAAAAATCCCCCTCTAGATGATATAGGTTCATTTTTATCTTGTTTCCTAAACTGCATTTTCAAAACTGCAATCTGATTATAATGTATATACCAACTCTCTATGCCAAGAAATAACTCTCCAATTAATCTTTTTTGATATTTTATCCAATTTGAAATGATATGTAATCTAAATAACTAAACATTTATAGAAAATGGTTGCCTCCCTTAAAACCAGCATATTTAGCAAATACATTCTTAAAATACTAAATATTTTAAGTTAAAATATGTTAGCAGTTGTAACTTTTAAGTATACTCAAATTGAAGGTCAGAATTCCAAGAGAGCCTTCTGGTAAAAAAAAAAAATCATTACTTAAGCCCAGTGCAATGGCACATACCTGTAATCCCAGTGGCTTGGGAGGCTGAGGCAGGAGGATCATGAGTTCAAAGCCAGCCTCAGGGAAAGCGAGGTGCTAAGCAACTCAGTGAGACCCTGTCTCTAAGTAAAATATAAAATAGGGCTGGGGATGTGGCTCAGTGATTGAGTACCCTGAGTTCAATCCCCGGTTCAGCTCCCACCCCTCAAAATACATCATTACTTAAAACATCATTATTTAAATAAGAACATTCCCTGCTCCCCAGGCCACCTCCTATACTCCCTTTGACTTTCTCCTATATTATATTTAAGTGGGGGCAAGAAGTGGATTGTCCCATTTTTTTCATATTCTGTATTATCAAGGTAACCAAATGTGATGTAATTTTTCCTGATTACCTCTGTTCATAGTAAATAATATCAACAAGTTCTTCTGGAATCTACCCATTGAAAATAATCTCTTTTTATAAATAAGAAAAAAATGTTTAGCTGCCCTTTTCAGTTTTCCTGATCCCAATGTTTTTGCAGAATAGTAGATTTTGGTTCTAGAAAAACTTTTGTTTATATTTCAGAATTCTCAATCCAGAGACTGAGTTTTTAAACTTTTCTTCTGCTCCACAGGTTGTTGGATTTTTTTTGTTGTTATTTTTTCTGGGTACCAGAGATTGGATTCAGGGGCACTTGACCACTGAACCACATCCACAGCCCTATTGTTTTTTTATTAGAGACAAGGGTCTCACTGAGTTGCTTAGCGTTTTGTTTTTGTGAATGTTGGCTTTGAACTTCTGATCCTCCTGCCTCAGCCTCCCCAGCCACTGTTTTTTTTAATGCATCCCCCTCCACACCCACTAATATCTTATTAATTATTTGTATAATAAAGGAGCATTTCTATCTTACAACTGAATACATTGGCATATTCATATGCCTGTGTCAATGGAAAAGGGGTGGCAATGGGTAGCAACAAAAGGGACTGATACAGAAGTCATTTAAGACTTTAGTAAGTTTATTAGCCCCAGTACATCGTTTATTTTCCATGTACAAATAACCATTTTCTTTGTGTATTTATAAAAAGAAAACTGGAAAATTTGTAAGATATTTTTGATCATTGTAATATATTTGGCTTATTAAAATCATTTTTGTGGATTGTATGGACCTAAAGAAAAGCTAAGTCCATAGTACATCAAAGAAAGACTAGCAGTATGTCTGCAGGCTTGGCTTATTGCTGAAATACAATCCTTTGGAAATGTTGCTTTCCCTGACATTAGTTACAATGGGAAACTAGGGGAAACTTACAGGAGCTGTCACTTAAGTGAAAAAGGATTCAGTTATTTCTAGCATCTTTCAAAATTATGTCATGTGAGAAATTGATCTTCCATTGAGGTTTTTTATATTGAAGAAGAATATGACAGCTGTGATCTTTCACTTCAGTTAAATATTAATAAGTCAAGATTTCAAGTAATAAAATAACTTATAGAAAAACATGTTTGATTTCCCAAATAAATATACAATAAAATTACTAAAATGTGCAAAATGGCTCCATATTATTTAATGGATCTGGGCTTTTCCTGAACACTAAGCAACAGCCTAGGATTTTAAAGACCATCCCTGCTCAATGGGAGCCTTCAGAGTACAAATTATTTTCTTCAGGTCAAATCTTAAAGAACAAGTAAGTTTCACATCATCCTTTGGGTCCAATTCGGGACCCCAGTGGAATCATCTGAGAAAATAAGAACCCCTGATAAATATGAAATAACCAAACTGAGTGTAATTCTTAAAATGGTGAGGTTCTCTAACTCACACACCAGGTCCCTAGACTCCTGAAATCAAATATCTAGATTAGTGGTCATTAAGTTTCTGTAAAGGTCCAAGAAGTGTTTATTTTTGTTTTTGTGAGTCAAAATCTGCCACTCAATTCTGCTATTATAGTGCAAATGGGTGAGGCTAGGTTCAAAATAGTATGATTTATAACTAATGAAATTTGAATTTCATATATTTTTTGTGTGTTTCAAAATAGTCTTTCAATTCTTATTCAATACTTTAAAAATGTAAAAGCATTTATATTGTTATCTTGTGGGCCATACAAAAATTTGGCCCACAGGCTGAAGTTTGTTGACTCATGCTCTAGAAATTTCTGGTTGCCCTCTTATCATTCACAACTCTCATAGGTTATGATAGATCCATCGCTTTGGGGCTCCAAATCATTCCTCTGCATCATCCCTTACCCCTCTTCCCATAAAAGTTATTGGCATCAGTCTGTATCTGATTGTTTTGTAATTATGGAAGATAGAAACAGGAGCATGTTTTCTTTTTAATTAGGTGCATTTCTTTTTCAACTAAATATTATTGATTTTACTAATAACAGCAATTTTGTATAGAGAAAATCCAAAGGCTAACAAAAAGACTGAAGGACTAGAAAAGCTGAAGAAGACAGATTATTAAATGGAAGAAGAAAAGTTTAGGGATGATGAACTATTTTATAGTTATTGTGTTATTGGTGGTTAATATCCATCCTGCACTTAGAGGCTTCTGTGTGAGAAAGTCTTCTAGATGGATTCTTATGAACCTTATTAGGAAAAAATATAATTCAGTGACAGAAAAACATCATTGTCTTTTGTATCAGAAAATATTAACAACAATTAAGAGTGATTAACTATTTCTAACTCTACTGGGCATGGTGGCACATGCCTGTAATCCCAGAAACTCAGGAATCTGAGAGAGGAGGATTGTGCGTTCAAAGCCAGCCTCAGCAAAAGTGAGGCACTAAGCAACTCAGTGAGACCCTGTCTCTAAATATACACAAAATAGGCCTGGGGATGTGGCTTGGTGGTCGAGTGCCCCTGAGCTCAATCCCCAGTACCCACCCCCCATTTTTTTTCTAACTCCACCATAGAAGGAAAAAGAGGAGCCTAATGGAATTCATCCCAAGACCATTTGAATTAGACATGGGAAAGGACAGTTATGATTTAGAAATTTCAAAGTTCAAGGCAGAGTTGTGCATTAAGAAAAACTTACAACTGTAGTCAAACCTGTCTTTGACTTCAAATAGATGGAGAAGACGATCTCTGGAAGTCTTTCAAAACTTTTTTTTTTCTGTTATGTGTAATTAGATTGCTTTATCATAGCAAATTCTACCATTAATTACTTTGCTAATGCCACACACCAATCAATATTCTAGGCACCCTGTTAAAATGGAGAGAGAGAGAGAGAGAGAGAGAGAGAGAGAGAGAGAGAGAGAGAGAGAATAATGTTCATTCAGTAGGATTTGCTTAGTAGTTAGGCGAAAGTCATGCTAAAGGCAAATGGAAATGAATATTTAAAAAGACATCTCACTACAAAGAAATAATAAATGTTTGAGGTGACAGATATGTTAATTACCCTGATTTGATCATTACATAATAATAATATACACACATCTAAATGTATTCATATATCAAAACATCACATTGTGCCCCATAAATATGTACAATTATTATATGTCAATTAAAAATAAAATAAAACCTAAAAAGACATTCAGTGCCTGGAAATAGTAAAAAAAAAAATATATTGGGGCTTCTGGCAGTTTAACTGGTTATTAATTGTGAAAGTAGCCTTTATTTTGAGGAAAGATTTGTAGGATCCTGCTATTTGATAGAAGGATTTAGAATAAATAGTGTTTGTAAGGATCCAGGCCTGAAATAATGAACAAAACCAGCAAGAGAGCAGATTAAGATGAGATGAAAATAGTAAAACTCTGAAATAAGACTGAAAATTTAAACCTATAGTAATTAGAAAAGCAGTAAAGGCATATGAAAAGTGGTAAAATATAGGTTTGATTGTAGGAGAAAAATTAATTTGCATTAAATTAATTTGATGAAGAAATGAAATTAGTGGATGCAACAGAAAAATAATTTGTGTATGTCTTTTCCTCCCTTTTACCTGTACTTAGTAAGTAGAGAATCTTATTCAAAGGTTGATTCTCTGTTAGGATTGCATTTGGCTTTAAGTAGCTAGACCTTATTCCAGTGACTTGATCAAATAGCCATGTTCAGTATGCTTCTGTTTACGTGTTACCCTGTAGAAATATATCATCTGGCTGACCAAAGCTTCAGGGGAACCTTCAAAATTATTTTTACTTTGGGGACTTGGTGCAGTGACTCCATGAGTAGTGTTATGGTTCTATTAGCAAGAAAAAAAACAGGGTTGAGGAAGGCAAGAAATAGTATTAACATTTGGCAGCGTGCACAATAAATAATGTGAACATTTTGAGTCAATCTAGACTTATGCTTTTGACCACAGTCCCCATAACAGCCCTATTTCTTTCTGCGTTTTAAAAAATGATTATGTTTTTCATCTACCTGGAATGTCATTGTTCTGATCTTGAGGTTATAACAGACTGATTGAAAGATATTTAAGAAAGTTGAGGTCACTCCTCCAAAATGATTTTTTTAAAGATGATAAATTTATTGCTGATAAGAAGTACCTTTAATTAAGGTCTTAACTTCATTTTATACTGCCAATCATCTTCAGGTTAAGAGAGGTACTGATTGCCATGACATGTGGAAAAATTATTGTCATTGTATTTTGTAGTCTGAGTATGAAATAAAACAATAGGCTTTAGGACATAAACCAGACAGTACATATACTTTCATTCTAAGTTTATAACTTTGCTTCATATATATTTATATTTGTTCCTATATGGTATGTCAATAGGGGGACCCATGATTGAGGTGTTCTTCCTTACTTGTGATATTTTTCATGTTTTCTTCTCATATTTTCATAGCAAAGAAATTCAAGAAATGTCAAATTGTAAAGATGTAACCAGATTCCCAAGGAAAAGAAATCTTAGCTACTTCTGCAATGACAGAAATGTATTAGACTCTTATATAATCTAGTCTAATGTAATACTTTATTAATGGTTCATATTAATATAATCTCAATAATTGTTATAAGAGCCCCCGTGGATCTCGCATATATGTGTCTCAGATATGTATATATAATTATTTTTATGCCTAAAGAAAAAAGTTGCTAAATTTGAGATTGAAAGTCACGTTATTTTCTTTGAATTTTTAAAATAGCTACGGTAGAATGTTATAATCCAAGAACAAATGAATGGACCTATGTTGCCAAAATGAGTGAGCCTCACTATGGACATGCTGGAACTGTGTATGGAGGAGTGATGTATATTTCAGGTAAAAAATATCATGTGAACACAATATATGTGTACTTTTAACTATATGATCTTCTTTGTATATACTGATAGTAATAATTCAGAAAATGGATAATCAAAATATAAATTAATGTTGGCTTAAGAAGTTATTATTGTATATTCATTTGTGTAAACATGCTTTAGGCATTCTATAAGTTTGTAAGACTAGCAACAAACCAATCTTGTTATAAATGTGTAGCTTAGAAGAAATTGGAAAGCATTCAGATTCTCCAGTTTATTTTCCAGTTCCTATACCCTGTATTATAATAAACACTATTCACATATAGCACCAACTAATTTATTTTATTTAAAATTTAGCTGAACTATGTAAGGAAATATATAATTATATAACATAAACTCCACTATGCATTAAACATGTATAATGTTCAGTATTTTGGTGTAATCTATAGTAAATACATTTCTTTTTTCCTTGGCATTGTAATGCAGTTCTCCTATGGTACCATTACAGGAATAATTCTGTGCTAAGTATCTGTATTTCAGGCACATGCAGTGATATTTTCTATTAAAAATTTGAAATGGCTACTCTTTATTCAGGGTTCCAATAATAACTCACTCTCAAATTGTTGATGTTCAAATCATCCTTCTATAGCATTTAGAAAAAGAAAACCTTGCTTAATGTAATGATCACCACTGATATTGACATTTAATTTTGTTAGGCAGGTTCTTATCATTTGGCACTCATACAGTGTGCCTATGACATTTTTTTACCTTATTTGAAGGCCTGGCAGTGCTAATCCAGCAATTGCATTATTAGAGAACAAAGGCATTAAGGGATTGTTTGTGGTCTGAACACTGCCTTATGAAATCTGTAATCAAGAAGGATCAGAGAAAGGCCTGTAGTGTGTGATTGGCAGGTTTCTGGTGTTAAATTCATGAGAAACTATAGGATGTCTTATATTGAAAGAGCCATCCAGGAAATCATATGCCCACTAGTCAATGATTTATACCATCTACCTATTTTATGTGTGTTGCTGCTATACCATTATAATGAGAGCTCCAAATCCCCTTGGGTGGGGGGGAATGACACCTGAATTGTTTTAGTGTTGCTTTAGCATAACTGGGAAATATTGCAGAAATGACCTTCCAAATCAAGGGTAGGAAAGGAAGCAAGCTGATTTTCAAACCAATGAATACTATTTTGCTTTCTGGGAATTCTTTGAAGCATAGAATAATACTATAAAGTAATAGCAAATAGTGATTGCCATTTGGCTAGTTGATAGTAGAATTTTGAATGATATGGTTAAAGATTAGCTTTGTCTGAAAAAAGATACAGTCTGATTTGTTCATATTCATTGTACAAACTGATTTATGTGTGATATAAGAATATACACTTTTTAGATGATATGGACTTAATAGATGAGCAGCAAAATGCTGCAGAAATAAATTTCTACATAGATTCAGCATTCCAATTCTTTAACTTTTTAAATATATTTTCCAATAGCAGATGGCATTACTCATCCTTATTCCATCTACCAAAAACTCCACAAAAACAAACAATTCTGTATATTCTTATAAGCTTGTACATTATTTGCATAAGACTTCCAACTTTTTTAAAGCATTTTTATAAATATCTCATTTCATAGTCCCAATCCTAATGAGAAAACTGTGGTGGATATTCTTATTTGACAAGAGAGGAAATGGGGACCTGGAATTTAAAGTGCTCTTATAGCCCAGTATTCAGCACCAGAGGGTGTCCACTAAAAAGCAGTAAGGAGTGAATGTAGTTTGCATTTACTGCAAACCCAACTGTACTAGTCGCCAAAATATATATTTTACTTGATAAAGTCTCTTATGTATGATAGGTCCTTAATTTAACAAAGTCATTGCAGAGATATAAGCTTTTTTTTTCATTCTATAAGAAGATGAAAGTCGTATTTTCTTTATTTTTAACCTAAAGAATATTTATAGAGAGCAAATATTTATAAAAACACTATTGATAAACTATACTATGCCACAAAACTTAGCTAAAAGGTGATTATCTATACTAGCCTTTAGTTTCCCATTTTTATGATCTCTTTACCTCATGTCTATTATTCTCATTCTTTAGGAGGAATTACTCATGACACTTTCCAAAAGGAGCTCATGTGCTTTGACCCTGATACTGACAAATGGATCCAGAAGGCACCAATGACCACTGTCCGAGGTCTGCATTGCATGTGTACAGTGGGAGAAAGGCTCTATGTCATTGGCGGCAATCATTTCAGAGGAACCAGTGATTATGATGATGTCCTAAGCTGTGAATACTATTCACCTATCCTTGACCAGTGGACCCCAATTGCTGCCATGTTAAGAGGGCAGAGTGATGTTGGGGTTGCTGTCTTTGAAAACAAAATCTATGTAGTTGGTGGGTATTCTTGGAATAATCGTTGTATGGTAGAGATAGTGCAGAAATATGATCCAGACAAAGATGAATGGCATAAAGTTTTTGATCTCCCAGAATCCCTTGGTGGTATTCGAGCTTGTACGCTCACAGTTTTTCCACCTGAAGAAACCACACCATCACCTTCTAGAGAGTCCCCTCTTTCTGCACCTTAAGATCATCCCTACAACTAAGATGCTGTAGTCCTATCTTTGCAATGTGTCATGATTCTCTTCTTTTTCTCCCCTTAAGTAGTATATCTGTTAGGATTAGCCTCCAGTAATTGATACTGATATTGGAAAAAAGACAACATTGATGTTATTTGTGCTGTTTGTTTGGCCTAGAATGTTTATAAAGTGGTAATAAAACCATCCTGGAAATGTATCCCATAGAAGCTGTTTAACATATGAAAAACAGTATTGTCTATGAACTGTTTCTTCAGTACTTTTTAATGCTGTGTACTGGGTGTAAGGTATTTGTCATCTTACATTATAAGCCAATTTGAAGGTGGATTATAGTAAATGTACAACTGTGCTCACTAGGCTTCAAAGTAAAAAGTTTTCCTTTCATCTTTGACTGTAAGATGTCAAAGGGAGGCAGCCTGCTCTAGCAGTTCTAGCAGGAAACAATACACAAAAGGTTGCCAACTCGCATGAGCTACCTCCCTCTTTTCATGAAGTATTTTTGATGTATCTGTCAACCCACCTGACTGTGTGGGTGCATTGAGAACATATAAAGTTTCTTAGACACACAGGAGAAATAACTGAAATTCACCAATGTTAACTTTAAAAAAGCATGACCCCTCTACTTATAAAAAAAAAAGGTTTGGGGTTTTTAAAGTGTGCGCAAATGCATACACACATACTTGGATATGGATTTCTAAACATTGAGTGTCACATCAAATAACTATGAAATTTTAAAAAATCTTTTAAAAGCAGCTTCCATTAAAATGGGAATTCAGTGTGCACATACTGAATACACACGTGTAGAACCATATGAATTTAGGTGGATAAGGGCTAGAAATTTTGAGCAACTAAAGTTGTCACTTGACCCAATTTTATCTTAAAAATTGTATTCTACTCCTTCTCCTTTGCTGTTGAGATAACTTACATATTCTGTGTATTCTGTATACTCTCAATTCATAAGGTTATTTAGCACAAAGTATAGCAGCTTCACCTGGAGAGCTGCTTTTGCTCAAAGAATTCAATTTCCATGTTTTATCTTTTTTCTGTTCAATAAAAACATTTAATGTCATTTTGGTCTGAGGCATCCTATTATTGCCTGAGTTGACTTTCTTTTATTAAGTGTCTTTTTTTGGCAAGACTCAAGTAATCAGAATGTAGAACATTAAGCAGTTTGGATGAGTGAATATTTATAAATTTTATTCAAGGAAGAAAGTGTTTGACCATGTTTAACCTCATTGGTGTTATTATTGCTGGTTGTCTTCAAGGAAGTTTGTGGAATATGTTAATTGACTCTTCATCTCCACAGAACTGCCAGGCATAGCTACCTTATAAGAATTGTTACATTTCTTTCTTTTTTTCTATTTAAGATGAGCTCTTGCTGTGTTGCCTAGCTGGTCTCAAACTCCTGCGCTCAAATAATACTTTTGTCTCAGCTCAAGTAGCTGGGATTAGAGGAGCATACCCCCATGCCCAGCTTAAAATCACTGTTTCTGAGGTCAGTTTCCCTGGTGCTCAAGAAGATCTTATCTTGTGGACTGGGGTTGTGGCTCAGTGGTAGAATGCTTGCCTAGTATGTGTGAGGTACTGGGTTCAATTCTCAGCACCACATATAAATAAATAAAACTAAAGGTTCATCCACAACTAAAAAAAAATCAAAATAAGTTTTTAAAAAAGAAGATCCCTCTTGCCTCCTGAGAAGGGACTGTGTAAAATGACCTTGGAGATTTTTTCTTGACCTAAGATACTAAAGGAAAAAATGTTTTTGTAGAAGATTATTTGATAATTATGTAGGAACATATTGTGATGTTTCCTACTTTATGTGCAAATTATCAGATGCAATCTGAAACATAAATTTAGGGACATTCCAAAACAACTAGAGAGCCATCATATTGCTTCACTAGTGGATAATTAGCAACCCAGATAACAACACCTCCACTTGAGTTAAACATGATTAAGGAAACAATTTTCCCATCAGTGGTACTTTTCAATGTTGGGAGAACCTGGTATAAATTTGAAAGATCCCCTTGGACAAGACTTTTCTTAAGTGAGATCAGCTGGTTCAGTGATTTCAGTTGTCTGTTTAAAGTCAGAGTGGATATAGCCATTTACACATAGCTAACACCTGCCTAAAAATGGAGACTGCACAGGGCAGACTAATGATCCCAAAACAGCCTAATGTAGGTACTCCTGATCAGGTGGCTCTATTCAAAGCAGCAAAGGTTCTTTCTATCCTGTGGTCTTCCCATCTATGTTTGCAGAGTCCTCTCCATTCACTTAGCAGAAGAACAATTGAGTAGTAGTGAAGGTGTGAGGGATGTAACGGTCAGTCAGAAAGAGGCATACATCACTTCTACCCACATCCCACTGGCCAACAGTCAGTTCTGTGGCTATATATATATACACAAAGGGAACTGGAAAATATCGGCTGTGTGCCCAGAAATGAAAGGAAATAGGACTGGTAATCTGCTAGCACTTTGCCACAAGAAATAATACAAATCTACACAGTTCTGCTTGACAACCTATCCTTTCTGCATTCTGCAAATGTTATTTAGAAACAATTAATTTCACACTTTACTATAAGAGTTATTATTAAACAATTCTAACAGCTGGGAAATCACTACACATTTTCTTTCATGGTGAATTAACTATTTTTCTTTATGAAAGAATACCTGCCAGTCATTGGTTGGCTTTATAAGCATTTCTTACATTTGCCCTTCTTAAGTTCTTGGTCTACTTGAAAAAGGAATTATAGAATCCATGAAATCCCAAAAGCTTCTTAATTTTCCTTTTTGGTCAAGGTAGCTAGGGTGTGAAAGTTAAAGAATTTATTTGGCTTTTTCTATAATTTTTAGAAAATTCACCTGATGTTGTGATTTGTATGTGAGCCACTGCAAAGTGCCTATGTTAATGCAGGAATGTTCAGAGGTGAAATGGTCAGACTGAGAGCTGTCCATACTAATTTGAATGGACTAAGTAAGCAGTAACTATAGACAGGTGGGGCATGGCTATAGGAAGTAGGTGATTGGGGGCGTGCCCTTGGAGATTATGTATTTTGTCCCCCATTCTCTCTCTGCTTCCTGGCTCCTGTGAGCTGAGCAGCTTTCCTCTGTGATACTCTTCTGCCATGATGTTCTGCCTCACCTCTGACCCAGAGCAACAGATGTGGCTGACCATCGGTGAACCTCTGAAACTGTGAGCCAAAGTAAACTTTCCCTCATCTCAATTGTTTTTGTCGGGTATTTTGGGCACAGCAATGAAAAGCTGACCAACACACCTGATCATCAGCATTTGCCCTAAAAAGTGAAGTTGACTTGAAATGTTTTCCTTCATAATATTACTTTAGAGTCTTTAAAACTATATTTGTTTATTAGTACATTAAATTTCTTTGGAGGTTTCTAAAATTATTCCATCATATTTGCCCATCATAGAATATTCCAAAGGGAAATTAAGTATAGTATTTTATTTAATTGGTTCCATCATGCGATACTTTTTTTCCATTTGTAGAGTCTTTGTGTGTTTTCCTTCCAAGAACAGTAACAGCAGTGGAAAGTTGGCCCTGGCTCTAATTTTATTATTGGCTACTGTGCCTTCCCTTGTATTTTTCATTTTTAAGCCACTCACCCTCAGGTCTAGTCCTTTGCTCATCAAGTAACTTTCTGGGCAGGCAGTAAATTCAATGCAAGTTCTCAAAGGTTAAGACAATTTTGTTTTAAATTGATCAAATAACAGTGTTTAAAAACTTCTGGAAATTATAAAAATGCAAAGTGTAGAAAAGAAAATTGTATATTCATATATCAGAAGTACTTTCTGGTCACCCATCTCCCCTTGTATCATAAAACTATTGCTAAATATAGATATATTGGTTTTTATACAAATATTACTTAAATTCAGTATGATATTTTTATTTGTTATTTCTAGATAAGCATGTGAGTAGAGTGTATTTTGACATATTATACATACATAAGTGTAACTTATTCTAGTTAGGATCCCATTCTTTTTTGTGGGGGTACCAGGGATTGAACTCACAGCACTCAATCACTGAGCCACATCCCCAGTCCTATTTTATATTTTATTTACAGACAAGGTCTCACTGAATTTCTTAGAGCCTTGCTTTTGCTGAGGATAGCTTTGAACTTGTCATCCTCCTGTCTCAGCCTCCCAAACTGCTGGGATTACAGGCATGTGCCAGCTTGCCCAGCATAGGATCTCATTCTTGTGGTTGTACATGATGTGGAGTTTCACTGGTAGTGTAAAAATTCAGTATAATTTTGTATACACTATATGAATTATTTCTGATATATCAATATCATTTTCTGACACAGAATACATCAATGTAATTTTTAGGGTAAAATTTTCTAACCCATATTAAGTGGAGTTTATTAGCCAATGTGTTGGGTCTTTTCAGTTTAAAAATATTAAACATAAATGTGGTTAAATATGAAGTCTGAATAATTAAGCAATAGTGATGCCAGGCAAAACATCTCATCAGTGAACCTAAGTCATACAATTCAGATCTTATAGTGAGCAGATATTTCATCTCTATTAAAATTTAGGCTTCCTTATTATCTCCACTAATTATATATTATGAAATGTCTAATACTTCTTTCTCTTGCATTGTTATTTGACAATGTGACTAAGATAAAGAGTAAATGAAAAATGTGAGACCAAAGGCTATATTTCCATTGAAAGAAAAAAGGGGGGAATTATTACAATAAGCCTTGACAAACGTTTTCTGTATAGAACTAATAAGTATTTTAATACTTGTGGCCATTTGTTCTCTATTACAACTACTCAGATCTGCTGTTGTAGTGGAAAAGCAGACACATATACTTTACAAATGAGTATGAATGTTTTCCAATAAAACTTTAAAGACACTGAAATTTAAAAGTCATGTAATTTTCATGTATTACAAACTATTCATTTGACTTATTATAATTAGGAATACATATTAATATTACAAATTAATGGGTTTCAGTGTGTCATTTCCATACAGGTATATATTGTGCTTTGATTGTATCCACCCTTATTCCCTGCCACCGTTTTTCACACCTGTCATTCCCTTTCCTAAGAGTCTCTCTTCTAAAATGATTGATTTTTTTTCAACCATTTAAAAATGTGACATGCATTCATAGCCCATGAATAGGTCACAGGCCAGATTTGGTACACAGGCTGTAGTTTTCTGGTTCTTGTCTTATAAGAGTATGTTTTATTACCATTAATTGACTCTTTAAAACAATATTTATTTTAATCCTTTTTTATATCAGTCAATGAAACGTCCTAGGGCTGCAAAGACTAATACAGCAATCCCAGCCCTCCTGAACTTAATCTAGCTCAATCTAATTGGGCAATAGGTACATACAATATAGTGTGTTTGAGGTTACGAAGGGTGTGAACAGGCAACATTTGAGCAGTCATAAGAATGGGTATAAAGTGAATGAGTGGAAGGCTATAAAGAAACAAAGGCCTGCCTTAATATACTTCTATGGCCGCAAAATTGGAAATAAAAGATTACACATAGGGAGTACAGCCTAATCCTTTAAATCCTGGTTTCTATCCCCTGTGATACAACTTCATCTTGCAAATCTCTCATTAATTACTCTAAATACCAACTTACTGGTTCTGTGCTAAGTAGGGTCACCTACAACTTGTCCTTTAAAATACATTATAACCTAGGGGCTGGGGTAGTGGTTCAGTGGTAGAGCACTTGCCTAGCAAGTGTAGGCACTGGGTTCGATCCTCAGCAACACATAAAAATAAATAAATAAAATAAAGGTATTGTGTCCATCTATAACTAAATTAAAAAAATACTTTATAACCTAGCAGAGATAAGATAATATTTTACAAAGCTTCCTTAAAGTATCTATGTATCAATATGTGTTTTACTACAAGGAATAGAAAACACCAACTCTAACAAAAAGGAAATGTGGGGCTGAGGTTGTGGCTCAGTGGTAGAGTACTTGCCTAGCATGCATGAGGCACTGGGTTTGGTCCTTAGCACCACCTAAATGTAAAATAAAGATATTCTGTCCACCTAAAACTTAAAAAATAAATGTTAAATAATAATTATTA